GGAGACCAAAAGATGTGAAAACATCAGAGAGCGAGACAGTACCAACTGGGGTGTGCGGCATGCCGCACACCCGAGTTGGTACCGTAGGTGGACGAAATATTCAAACCCCTTCTATCCTGTACAACCCCTTCGCCCCCAAAGTTCAATGTTATTGTAACCTGAAATGCGTTAGCCCCAATGGACGAAAAAAATCAAACCCCTAACATCACTTTTGCTAACGCGCGCGATGAAACATTGAGATTTGGGGGTGCGGGGGTTCAACATATTGCGTGCTGCAGGGTTTGAATATTTTGTCCATCTACTGTCTGGTTCTCTGATGTTTTCACATCTTTTGGTCTCCAAACTCTGTTGTGGAAACATCAATGTGCATGCTGCTGATCTTATTCCAAACTGCGCAAAACATTGGCTTTTCACAAGTAAATGCCTCCTGTCTGTCTCCCGTCCCATTTTTTTCTATTCCCTAATTCGCAACTTATTCCTAAGTGCACAAAACATTGTGTTTTCACAGGTAAGTGCAACCTTTGTGCTTCCCGTCCCATTTTTTTCTATTCCCTAATTCGCAACTTATTCCAAACTGCAAAAAACATTGTGTTTTCACGGGTAAATGCTGCATGTGTCTCTCGTCCCATTTTTTCCTATTCCCTAATTCACAACTTATTTCCAGTGCACAAAACATTGTGTTTTCACGGGTAGATGTGCATGTCTCTCTCGTCCCATTTTTTCCTATTCCCTAATTCAGGACTTATTCGTTTGACGTGGCCCTGCCAATGGATTTTGCAACTTGAACAGCATGAGACAGCTCCTAAGTAAAAAAGGAAATATTTTTCTCTTAAAAAGAAGCAGCACGTCACAAATGACATAATCCATTGGCAGGGCCACGTCAAACGAATAAGTCGTGAATTAGGGAATAGGAAAAAATGGGACAAGAGAGGCATGCACATCTACCTGTGAAAACACAATGTTTTGCGCATGTTGAAATAAGTTGTGAATTAGGGAATGGGGAAAAATGGGACGAGAGACACATGCAGCATTTACCTGTGAAAACACAATGTTTTTTGCAGTTTGGAATAAGTTGCGAATTAGGGAATAGAAAAAATGGGACGGGAAGCACAAAGGTTGCACTTACCTGTGAAAACACAATGTTTTGTGCACTTAGGAATAAGCTACGAATTAGGGAATAGAAAAAAATGGGACGGGAGACAGACAGGAGGCATTTACTTGTGAAAAGCCAATGTTTTGCGCAGTTTGGAAGAAGATCAGCAGCATGCACATTGATGTTTCCACAACAGAGTTTGGAGACCAAAAGATGTGAAAACATCAGAGAGCGAGACAGCAAATATTCAAACCACTTAGTCCTGTACAACAACCTTCGCCTACAAAAGTTCAATGTTACTTGATAACATGAAATGCGTGAGCCCCAATGGACGAAAAAAATCAAACCCCTAACATCACTTTTGCTAACACGCGCGCTGAAACATTGAGATTTGGGGGTGCGGGGGTTCAACGTAGTGCGTGCTGCAGGGTTTGAATATTTTGTCCATCTACTGTCTCGTTCTCTGATGTTTTCACATCTTTTGGTCTCCAAACTCTGTTGTGGAAACATCAATGTGCATGCTGCTGATCTTCTTCCAAACTGCGCAAAACATTGGTTTTTCACAAGTAAATGCCTCCTGTCTGTCTCCCATCCCATTTTTTTCTATTCCCTAATTCGCAACATATTCCTAAGTGCACAAAACATTGTGTTTTCACAGGTGAGTGCAACCTTTGTGCTTCCCGTCCCATTTTTTCTATTCCCTAAGTCGCAACTTATTCCAAACTGCAAAAAACATTGTGTTTTCACAGGTAAATGCTGCATGTGTCTCTCGTCCCATTTTTTCCTATTCCCTAATTCACAACTTATTCCAACATGCGCAAAACATTGTGTTTTCACAGGTAGATGTGCATGTCTCTCTCGTCCCATTTTTTCCTATTCCCTAATTCACGACTAATTCGTTTGACGTGGCCCTGCCAATGGATTTTGCAACTTGAACAGCATGAGACAGCTCCTAATTAAAAAAAGGAAATATTTTTCTCTTAAGAAGAAGCAGCACGTCACAAATGACACAATCCATTGGCAGGGCCACGTCAAACGAATTAGTCGTGAATTAGGGAATAGGAAAATATGGGACGAGAGAGACATGCACATCTACCTGTGAAAACACAATGTTTTGCGCATGTTGGAATAAGTTGTGAATTAGGGAATAGGGAAAAATGGGACGAGAGACACATGCAGCATTTACCTGTGAAAACACAAGGTTTTTTGCAGTTTGGAATAAGTTGCGAATTAGGGAATAGAAAAAAATGGGACGGGAAGCACAAAGGTTGCACTTGCCTGTGAAAACACAATGTTTTGTGCACTTTAGGAATAAGTTGCGAATTAGGGAATAGAAAAAATGGGACGGGAGACAGACAGAAGGCATTTACTTGTGAAAAGCCAATGTTTTGCGCAGTTTGGAATAAGATCAGCAGCATGCAGAGTGATGTTTCCACAACAGAGTTTGGAGACCAAAAGATGTGAAAACATCAGAGAGCGAGGCAGTACCAACTGGGGTGTGCGGCATGCCGCACACCCCAGTTGGTACCGTAGATGGACGAAATATTCAAACCCCTCCTATCCGGTACAACCCCCTCGCCCCCAAAGTTCAATGTTAATGTAGCCTGAAGTGCATTAGCCCCAATGGACGAAAAAAATCAAACCCCTAACATCACTCTTGCTAACACGCGCGCTGAAACATTGAGATTTGGGGTGTGCGGGGGTTCAACATAGTGCGTGCTGCAGGGTTTGAATATTTTGTCCATCTACTGTCTCGCTCTCTGATTTTTTCACATCTTTTGGTCTCCAAACTCTGTTGTGGAAACATCACTCTGCATGCTGCTGATCTTATTCCAAACTGCGCAAAACATTGGCTTTTCACAAGTAAATGCCTCCTGTCTGTCTCCCGTCCCATTTTTTTCTATTCCCTAATTCGCAACTTATTCCTAAAGTGCACAAAACATTGTGTTTTCACAGGCAAGTGCAACCTTTGTGCTTCCCGTCCCATTTTTTCTATTCCCTAATTCGCAACTTATTCCAAACTGCAAAAAAACATTGTGTTTTCACAGGTAAATGCTGCATGTGTCTCTCGTCCCATTTTTTCCTATTCCCTAATTCACAACTTATTCCAACATGCGCAAAACATTGTGTTTTCACAGGTAGATGTGCATGTCTCTCTCGTCCCATTTTTTCCTATTCCCTAATTCACGACTAGTTCGTTTGACGTGGCCCTGCAATGGATTTTGCAACTTGAACAGCATGAGACAGCTCCTACTTAAAAAAAGAAAATATTTTTCTCTTAAGAAGAAGCAGCACGTCACAAATGACATAATCCATTGGCAGGGCCACGTCAAACGAACTAGTCGTGAATTAGGGAATAGGAAAAAATGGGACGAGAGAGACATGCACATCTACCTGTGAAAACACAATGTTTTGCGCATGTTGGAATAAGTTGTGAATTAGGGAATAGGAAAAAATGGGACGAGAGACACATGCAGCATTTACCTGTGAAAACACAAGGTTTTTTTTGCAGTTTGGAATAAGTTGCGAATTAGGGAATAGAAAAAAATGGGACGGGAGGCACAAAGGTTGCACTTACCTGTGAAAACACAATGTTTTGTGCACTTAGGAATAAGTTGCGAATTAGGGAATAGAAAAAAATGGGACGGGAGACAGACAGGAGGCATTTACTTGTGAAAAGCCAATGTTTTGCGCAGTTTGGAATAAGATCAGCAGCATGCACATTGATGTTTCCACAACAGAGTTTGGAGACCAAAAGATGTGAAAACATCAGAGAGCGAGACAGTACCAACTGGGGTGTGCGGCATGCCGCACACCCGAGTTGGTACCGTAGATGGACGAAATATTCAAACCCCTTCTATCCTGTACAACCCCTTCGCCCCCAAAGTTCAATGTTATTGTAACCTGAAATGCGTTAGCCCCAATGGACGAAAAAAATCAAACCCCTAACATCACTTGTGCTAACGCGCGCGATGAAACATTGAGATTTGGGGGTGCGGGGGTTCAACATATTGCGTGCTGCAGGGTTTGAATATTTTGTCCATCTACTGTAGGGCTCTATCTCAACGAGAAAAGTGGCTGATATCAAGTGACAACGTCTGAAAATTAAAAAGGCCATCTGCAACGAACACATACCATTTGTGTGCCTGAAATGGGGTACATTCCAAAAAGAACAATGGAAAACTGAGGGAAAATCAGGATGAACTTTTCAGACATACCCATATCTAATGTCCACGTGCATCCAAATACCTTCTGAGGGGGTGTTTGGGGTATGTGATCGAGGGCGTCGAGCATCTTCTCAGAAAGTATTTGGATCTGTAGGGAACACAACGTATATGGCAGTGAATAGGATTTATGCCGGCCAGATATACTCCCATTTTTATAGTTTGAATGTGGTGTCAAGATAATGTGGTGTCCGTTCATTTCAACACTCGATTAAGTGACAAAAAAATGAGGCTGCGTAGAGATCTAACATTTCCATTACATTTCCAATAGCAATGGGAAGTAAACTAATGATACATAATGATACCGTAAAGGCTATTTAATATATCTAATGTGTATATACATATTTATATATATATGTACTTGTGATGTCGCTATTGAATTCCCTTCTGGGATCATCCCATCCCATAAAATTGAAGCATCCGATTTAAGTAGAATTGGGCGCAAGAGTGCTGAAGATGCTAGCAGACAAAGTCAATGCATTAATTATATACATATATACATGATTCGTTGGGGGCTTCAAATATATGTTCTAGGTGTTTTTCAACCATACTTGGGTCCCGATTGTCTGAACTTGCAACGAAAAATCTGGTTGGGATGTGTTAAACCCACCCCAGCAGATAGGTGGTTTGGAGGTCCCAAGCCTTGAAAAAGCCTGGTATCCTGTGGTGCTTGGCTCTCCAAGGCTGACCCTCTTGGCACTACAGACCATGTTGGAACATACCCAGGCGACCTGGGGGGTCACCCCAAATCATCCAAGTCAGGCGACTTTAGTATAGGTTAACCGTAGACTTAAGGGGATCCCCAATGACTTCAGAAACACCTGCTTTGTTTGTGATAAGGAAATGTTCCGTGCATTCAAACAACGACGTTGATCTTGTTCGTTTGGCAAACATGAACTATGATATGTTGTGATGAATCATGTGTGCTTTGAAGTCACTAAATCTTCATGACATATACATGTATTTCCCCGTGTATTTCATGCACATGTCCATTGGTGGTCTCAAGCCTTGAATTCCCGCAGAGATGGGATGGTGTTTTGGGGGCCAAACCGTTTGTTCTCTCTCCACAACACCAGCATCCTGAGTTTGTCTCATATATTTTCACTTTTATTACATGTGTAAACATAGACAATATATGTAATCATGTAATATCAGATAGATAATGCAATATGTACGTTTTAAAGAAGGCATAAAAAACTAAACAATACATAATACCAAAGATGATTTAACATGATTTAACTAGATACTTTATAGATCTTTATACAACTTGGACGCTCCGCTCTCCATTTCTTCCCAGCCCGGCATCCAGCTCACAGGATCCCTCGCTAATCACCAAAGCGCGCACAGCACCTTGGTTCCCTTGGTTCGAGGTCGAGGATGAGTTGAACCAAGGGAAATGGTTGATTTCTATATTAGGAGGTTTCCATTCCATTTGTCGAGGATAGGCAGGATAGGTCTATGGTTGATTTTTTTAGGGCACCCCCTTGACTTAAATGGAGGTTTTTCTACGATTTAGGGTGCCCCTGAATCTTCCATTTTATTAATAAGAGTTGTCCCTAAATGTTTAATAAACCATAGATTTATGGAAAGCCACGAAAATGGGGGCCTGTCTGAAAATGAGGTGCACCCAAAGAATTCTTGGTTCATGTTTTTTTCCCCAATTTTTAGTTGCTATGACTGGGGGTATATTACTATTTTCAGATACACCCAAATGATGAATGGCGCGTCGCAGCATCAGTGTTTGATGATTTTCCCACATGGACTTTGTTGCCCAGCACCGTGCGCTGGAAAATTGTTGCCCAGCACCGCATCTGCCAAACCGTTTGCGGTTTATTGGCCTCCAGTAAACCAACGTTGCTATGGACAGTCATGGGTTTTCCGAAATAAGTTCAACAATGCTGGATGTGCCATATATTATCTTTATATCTATATTTGTTTGATGAAGGGTATTGCATACTTGGAATGGTCAAAGATAGTCAAAGTATCACAAGAACTTGTTCAACACCTCACTCGAGTCCGGAGGTAAAAAAAAAAAACACGCCACAGATTGCATGGCGTTGCAGACCTAAACTTGGCTCATCGCCACTGTGCGCGATACAACTGCTACCCTCTGGTTATGACTAGCATGGCCATTGGACATGGTCCATTTATAGATGGTTTACCTATTAATAGCATGGTGATTTTCCATGGCTATGTTAGTCATAACCAGATGGTAATACAATTTATATAGCTAATATGTTGGGTTACCAACTGATCATTTTTAGCTGTTTTTTGTTGCCTGATACCCATGGGCCCTGCATGTTGCTTCAAGATGGTTTGTATCATTTCCGTGGCAGAAAGAAGTCCTGAGGCAGTTGAGAAACATTTCAACTCCGTCGTGGAAGATCAGAAGCAGGACTTCCTGGATTTCCTCTTTGATCGAGATGTGGCACCTTGACTGTTAGATGTTAGATGTTTTTTAACATATCCCTGGTCCCGAAAAAATGAACATGATTGTTGGTGGTCAATAAGCCTTTCATCAACCGTACTATACCGGGTTGGTCACCGACATGGGGGTATTGCTTGGATCCCAAACCCACATGTTGGTTTTGGAAGAGGATGGTCCGGGTAAAAGCGGCTATGGTATCTTTTGATAATCTTATGGTTGGGGGTTGAATATCAATTGGAAGTGTAAAGAATTAGCAGCGTCATACCCACAGAGCAACAACTATATCCTTGCATCCGACTGCGCTCTCCTGACTCCTGTTGATGGTTGTTTCTCCAATCTCAGACCACTCATGTACAGGCTGCAATTGTCCCATTGGATTATCACAATGGTTACACTCTGGTGATCATACGTGGCCTGCTGGAGAATCCTTCAGGGTCGTATTGAGAGTCATTTGTTGGCTTACTCTCCATAGCTGCAGATCATCATATCACCACATCAAGTCGACCTGAGGCCCTGAGCGCTTCATTGAGAGACTCCATTTTCGCATGTTTGGTGGCCTACAAACATGAGATGCTGAGCAAGGTTTGGTGGGCATGTGGGCATTGAGGGATGGATGGTACTAGTATGTGCTTGTATAGGTAAACTGATGGTGTGGAGCAATTGTGGGTTCCTGACAGATATATATATAATATTATATATATAATATAATATATATATATATTATATATATATATAACTGGTTGGTGGTTTGGATCATTTTTTATTTTTCAACATATTGGCAATGTCATCATCCCAACTGACGAACTCCATCATTTTTCAGAGGGCAACCGGTCAACCATGGTCAACCAGCAACCAGATAAGCTGGCTTCACTGGATTGAACATGTCATTGGGGGTAATATTTTTGTTGATATTTTTAATGCAGTTCATATCTCAGGAGGTATGCTTGGTGTGTCCCAAAACAAAAACCGCACCGCAGAATTGGATGATTTGATGTTACCTGGATCTTTCTGCTTTTTTTTGACCCCTTCACAAAGCCAACTTTTGGTTCACATCCCAACTTTTAATTACTGAGAGTCTCATACTGGTTGGTGGTTTGGAACATGAATTTTATTTTTCCATATATATATATGTATATTGGCAATAATCATCCCAACTGACGAACTCATATTTTTCCGAGGGGTAGGTCAACCACCAACTAGTCATAGATGTTGTTTAAACTCATGAGAAATCCAAACCTTAGTTGGTGTTAGTGGTGTTACATCCCAAATCTGCTGGTCTCAGATTTGCTGAGAATCAGGCGCCTCTTCAAATTGATACACCGCAGCTTGGTGATTGGCTGAGCCGTGGGCTACCAGGGGTACAAGGTGGCGCCTGAATTCAGCAGCTAAGTTGGTTTATACCTCGAACTAAGAATTGTGGTAGAATTGTTGTATGTTTTTCGCATTATATATCTATATCTAGAGTTAATATGAGTTAATGGGGATTATGAAGCAACTTAAACTTTTAAGTGGTGTCACCACCTTGTCCAACATGTTGGTGATGCAAGATGGGGATTCAAGAGGGAAATGATTTTTTGATATCACACAGAATGGGATCTTTATAGGGTTCACAACCAACAATTAGGGAATGTTTGTAGATAACCCTATGTATATATATATATACACAATTAGGGTTTTATAACCACCAACAATTAGGATCATTCATAACCAACATCGAGGGCTGTCTGAAATTAGGGGATGCCCCAAACTGCAAGTCTTGTCGGGAAAATAATGATAAGTCATAAACCATCCAGATGTGGAGTGCCCTATTTCCGGACAAAGCCAAGAAACGATTTTCTGTATCCTCAACATCACCCAGGATGAGCCAACCTCTTCGACGGCACCTTGGGCTTCAGGGAGGTGTTGTCGATTGTATCATAGCGGCCTCATAACGGCCGAGCTCAAGCATAAAATGATCGTGAGTTTAAGTGGAATCATAATAAACATACTTCTTCATTGGTGCTCATTTCATTCTTTCTATTTCTTTCCAGATGATGATGTTTTTTTGAGTTGCCCAGATAAGGAATGTACTAGGTGTGCCATCTCACTAGAATGCCTTCAAATGATGTTCCCTTCTAGCAATAAAGGACTTTGCGGTTACCTGAAGAGGCCCCCAACTTGGGTGAGAATCCCTATGATCCATGTGGGAACCCGGCTCTTTGGGAGTATATTCATGTATATTCTGGGGCCGTTCATGGTTCATTCCCATACCGGTTGTGTTGCATCCTGCGGTATGGGAACTCTTCAATATTTTTATATATATTTCTATCACTGCGGTCTGTTGTTTGTCCAAAAAACATTGAACAGATCAGCAAAGAATACCCTCTGGTAATTTAACATAGCTATTGAAAATGGTGATTTATAGTGGATTTTCCCATTGAAAATGGTGATTTTCCATAGTTATGTTAGTTTACCAGAGGGTATTCTGACATGTTCTGACCTTTTGAGATCCCCAAATGATATGCCGGCGGTTTTCACTTTCCATCTCATCGAATCCACCTGCTGTTTACCCTCCCAAGTATGAGTCCACGGCACTGGAACATCCATGGGGGCTCTGTGATGTTCCTATTTTCTTTTCCCAGAACCAAAAATACAGATTACGAGAGGGTTAAAAAAACATCTCAATAATGACAATTATAATAATTATATATATATATATATTAATAAATAATATCTAATGATAGTATCATTATTACTATTATAAATATAATGTATGATACATAATATGATACGTATCATAGTTATATATATACATAGATTTATTTATACATGCATGCCGCATTCTGGAGTTGAACACATGTATCCATATCCTATTTCCCTCCATAAATCTTCAACCATCTCCAAGCGCACCAGGTACAGCCTCGCTGGTGCTTCGCCCTCGCGTGAGCCTTCCAAGGAGCCACCGATCCCGGAACGTAACTCCAAACGAACCGTGACTGAGATCGCTGGCCTCCGATGAACCGTTTTTTTGCGCGTGTCGGACCGTTGCGACGTTCAACGCTGCTGAAACATGAGGTCAGTGGAAGGTGGACTTCAGGAAATGACATGAAATGGCAGCGTGAGGGACGTCAAGCAAAACAATGAAGAGATGTGACCATGAAACATCGGGATGATCCCCAATTGACCTTGCCGGACCCGGCTCCACTGTCCTCACCCATTGCTTGAAGGGCAGGTAGTTGCCCACGTGCCCGGCTGCCAAAATGGCATTCGTGCACTGAGCAAAGAGATGTGAAAAGAATGGCATGCTGCTGCGTGCGAAAACCGACTGTTCAATGGTAGATTAGTGGATGGTATGGTCAGCCATTTTGAATCCTGTTGATCAAGGATTGAATCAGATTAAATCCAACAATACCAACATGATAAAGACACATAAAGAACTACATCATATAGCGTTATATACATATTATATATATACACACCTCTGCAGTTTTCATGGGTAAAACAGGATCCTGGGGTTTCAATAGGTTGATTTCATGCTGGTAATATGAAGCATCGATAGAGATGCCAACTACGGTTGATATACACTCTGAAATAACTATAGCATATATATCATTAACATCCATTGGAATCTATAGCATGATCACTCCCAACTCTAGATATCTATCATTAAACCATGTTAAACCCTTCCAACTATGATATGAATTGGTATTTAATACCAACTTTATCACTGGGCCATGTTGTATCTATCTTTTCCCCTGCGTATGGGCTGATGAAAATCTAGACTACCGCTATGGCAGCTATGTTTGATGTGAGCAGAAGGGTACCAGGGTTTTGCCTGATCCAGGCTCTCCTCAATGATTTTTGTATACAAGACAGTTGTTCCTGCAACTTTAAGCATATGATCCTAAGCTGAACTGGAGGACTTGCAAGGTACATCTAGGCAGACCTGTTTGAGTAGGTGAAATGAAATGACTTCTTTTGAGGCTATAACCAGGGGGGAAGGCACCGCAGAACTTTAACGTTTCTGCTATGGCACCACTGGGCCGTGGCGCTGCAGGCACCAAAGGATGCTATGTCCGTCGGGAGGAAAAGGGCCAAGCAATGACCTGGTGATGATTATTTGGTTGTGTGGGTCACGGCGGTCACGGGAGATTGGGGAATTCACCAACAAAGTGATCGGCGGCGGTATTTATTATATAGTCAAGTTTTTTTGTGTGTTCAGAAATCTTGGATTTGTTTCATTAAACGGCTATGCTACTTTCTGATGGGAAAGATGATGCAAGTTCTATCTTTTGGAATAGGGGGTGCTCGACTTTCAGACAATGAGTGGGAACTGCTACATTTCGGGAATGGATGGGTGGGAACTCCTGCTGTTTTGTGTAAAATCACGACTGGTTTTGGATGATTTTTTGACCAATGTTTTGGTCAATAACCTCACAATTACACAAGCAACGTAAAGAGATTTTGCGGGCAAGAATGAAGATTTGAAACCAAATATGAATATGATTTATAACATTTATATGGATGATAAGCCATACAGACAAGCCCCATATCTGATGATGAGTAAGAATTTTCCTCCAACAAGTATGCCCTCACATTTGGGATCTACTGTAATCTAACACGACTTATTCAGATGATATACCTCCCAGCGCACTTCAGTTCAGATTTGAAGATGGTTTGAAAAACAACCAAGCGGAAACCTATCATCCAAGCATGGTGTAGTTCTCCACCAACATCAACATGTACCAGATATCCAAATTATGGGTCACGGTCACACCATCCATGGGAACATTTTGGACATTCTGGTTCTGCTTTTTGGGCACCCAATGTTAACATGCTGAGGCATCCAATTTTTGACCTGTCCCATTTGCCTACAGTGTTGATTGGGTTGTTGCTACTGTATATGTTCTTCAATTTACGGAATCTTTGGATACCTTTGCGTATCTATAGATACATCTTTGCCTTACAAGTACTTCACCACTCAAAGTGCCATTCCATCTCATTGATTTTCTCAGGGTTGCGAGTTCAATATTCATAGGATGCTGCTGCCCCTCCCCCACAGCCCCCCCCCCAAAAAGCATTTGTACAGTACATATATCTGGGGATGTTTTGGGAAAGTTTAAGGTCAACTTTGGGGAAGTTTAAGGTCAGTTCTGGGGAAGTTGAAGGTCAGATTGCAGAAGTCATTTTCACTATGTGTTTCAGTTTAGTTTGTTTACTTTTGAGCAGGATCGGGTTGAGATTGAACTGTTTTGGGTTGATTTTGGGGTGACTTTGGGGCTGCTTTGGGGCTACTTTGGGGCTACTTTGGGGCGACTTTGAACTTCTTCGGGCTGATTTTGAACTGTTTTTAAGGGTTGAAGGCAAGCTGTTGTTGATTGATGTTGACATGTTTACTGCTCTATCGGTAGTTTGATAAGGTCGTGATGGATAAATTATCTAAGATGTTAGCTGCTTTATCGGTAGTTTGATAAGGTTGTGATGGACAAATTATCTAAGATGTAAGCAGTATTAGAATGAGGTGGGGGGGCAGGACGCCACACAAATCACGAGTCATGAAGCAATGCCCAAGCAGGATTGGTGCAGCAGTGTTTGGATTTCATTTGAACCGTTTTGGGTTGAATTTGGGGATGAGTTGCAAATGCATTTATCACTCACTCCGGTGCCTTCTGTTTGTTGATGTTTCTGCTCAAAAGCGCAAGGTCTTTTGAAAAGAAGCGTTGCGAGATTGCACAGCATCGCTGTATAAAATAGGTTGAATGTTCGTCTCAACTGTTCGTGTTAGAAGTGGAACATGAAACAATAACATAAACTTGCAATTTGAGCATATTGTAACCCTTGTTCAACACATACTTGTTGGAAAACCCCAATGTCACTACCTACTGCGCCATGTGACATGTGACGTTGCAAATGGTGTTCAACGATTTGAGAAATCTGACTGTGAGAAGCCTGCCTGCTCTACAAACCCTAAGGGTTTATGTCGCGAGCGAGGATGAAGTGCAGTCAGAATGGGTATTAGCAGATTTGTTTCAAGAATTTGAAACCGACAGCATGGAGAAACTACGAAAACGTTGGAAGACATGGGTACCTTTAGCAGAGGGTTTTCATAAGCAAACATGGCCTCATTTGGAGGTTCCAGCTCAAAGAATAGCCAAGAAAGATCGCAACAGTGCCAAATCTTGTGGGGAGGGAATGGAAGATCTACTGGATGAGAAAACAATTCCTACAACTATGATGCTGTCCCTACTTGTGATGTTCAGCACATACATCAAAAGAACCTCGACTGATCGGGAAAAATCATTCAACATGCTTCGCAGAGTTGCTAGCATTGTTTGCCAATCCAGCGGTGGTTTCATGGTTGAAGGGACAAAGGTAGATCAACAAGGACTTTTTGAAAGCGAGGTATGGCCACCAAGTCTCTTACAGGAACTGAGGAGTTTGTGGGATGCAGACCTACTCTGCCAACCAAACTTTTGGGTGCAAAGCCATTTCGACAGGGCTCATGTGGTGTATTGCATTGCTTTTATTTTCCGACCAGTTTCACAATCTAGTCGCAGAGAAGTTGGGAAATGGAAACAATTGAGCGCAAGAATACAGTGGGTAGCATTCAAAATTCTGCAGGCGCTCGCACAGTCCTTGCATGAACAGATTCGAAGGGTGACTGTGTCCCAAGGGCTGAAGCGTCGAGTCCAGAATGAGCAAGAGAGGGAACTGGGAGTGAAGAAGAAAAGGAAAGTAGCATCATCTCATGAGAACATCATTATGACGGCTGATATCATCGAAAAACTTTATACCAGAGAAGACACTAAGATTTGACTGGAATGAATTTTTCTATTTGTATTTTGCTGGATTGGGAAGTATTCACTAGTCTTCAACCAATGTAAAATAGTACTGATGCCTTTTCCAGATTCCTATGCTTGAGGCGACCTCCTCGGCAAAAGCTGCATGTAGTGTCACTGACGGTTGGGAATCAGAGACCCGTACTGCCCACAAGTTCTGCGCAACTTGGTTTTTGACTTTAAAATGTTACAGTTTTTCATGTGACTTGAATAAACAATAAATATGTATAAAAAAAATATATATACATTGTTTCTGTTTTTAAATTACAATGTTTTGTTTGCTATGCTAAGGGTAATAGTCGATAGGAACAAGTTGGGGGTTGGGGATGAGTGAGGCCACCTTGATGGCAAGGGCTCGTACTGAGTTCAGTGACCAGATGCATTTCCAAGTCCTGTTTGATGCCAGCGACATTTGTGGAAAGCCAACGGAATTCTACCAGGCGGGAGCCAGTACTCAGCAAACGCGCAAAACAGAAGCTAAAGACTAAATATTCAAAAGAGAATACCTATTGGACGGGGAGGGGCTGGACAACCCAATAAATCTGCAATCAACAGTCAGTCATTCGTTGATCTCAAGTTGTAATAGCCTTTTTTCCCTTAGTATGACTTTGTCTTTGTCTGTCTCTCTGTCTCTCTAGTCAACTCTTTATCTCAATCTCTCTTTGTCTCTGTTTGTCTCTATGATCTCTATGTTTCCCTCAGCACCTGCCACCGCAAATGCACTAGCCTATGGATTACATAACTTGCTACTTTGGAGGTCTGGAGTCCATGGCTTGGGGTTGGTGCTTTTGGGCCACCATTGGCCGGGGCGCTCAAGTAAGTAAGTGGGTTGCGGCTGTTGAATTCAGATTTAATTCAAAGACTTAAGAGACGAAACGATACTTCATACACATGACTTCATGCATGCACTCAGACCACGCGCACTTAAAGATTCAAGACAGCGTTGTTGGTGCAGTTTTTGGAGTGAAACAACCAATGATGTCAATGAGTGAATGTCGGCTCTTTTTTATGTAAAGATCAAGCTATGACATAGAGTACATGTGCAATCACAATGTGAGACCGAAAAACTATTGAAGTGCAACAAAACATTGGTGCATATTTCCTCAGGAAGTGTTATGTTGATATGTTCATTTCAAACATCATGGATCCTGGCGCGCATGCAATGGATTGTGCTTCTGCAGCGGGGAGGACCAGTACAGGTATGACATGGACACAACAGACGGTTGACTCTGGATGTGCAGTTACCAGTTCGTCAAACCCTGGTGTTCCTCAGTATGCCGACCCCATGCAGGCCGCAGGGTATGGGAACATGAACCAATAACAGTGCGAAAGTACCATGACTTATTGAATTGACTGAAGACTCAGAGTTCCCAGTTCAAGGCAATATGTTTTCTAGACAAAACTGGAACTGTTTCCACATTGACAACAACATTGTAGGTGAACTTTGACGATACGAACCTTGCTTTGGCTGCACGCGCAGTGCGGATGGCATGTGCTGTGATGCAAAAATTGATTCCGAGAAGGTATTTGGACGAGTCCCTCTTAGCAACTGCAAGAACAATGTCATCGTCTTGCACCGGAGTTTACACTGCTGAAGTCGCTATGGGCCTGGTGCAGAGACCTGTTTACTTGAATTAATGGAAACTTTACTTACCACTCTGACTCTTTCCCCTGAACCTTTAATTAATTTAACTTCCACCTGTGGATTGAAATTAAACTAGTCCGAAACATGTGCGTACTTTCCCGCCATATCATTTTTTTAATTCACAGCCTTCAGCCCAGGAAATCTTGGAACGACTCCTGGACAGCTTCTGAGAACTCATTCAGGGTCAACGTGCAATCGGAGTACTGTCATGATGCTTTAATTAACCATTTTCCTATTAGTTTGGCACCCCAAAATCTGACCCCCACAACCAACTAAACATGTAGCAAACCTGTAGGAAAAAGGTTACTGAGGGTAGAGTTGTGGGGGTCAGATTTTGGGGTGCCAAACCAGCAGGAAAATTAGAAGCTTTAATGTTTTTTAGAAACGCACATTTTTATATATATAAAACAAAAAAACCTGGACCGGACAAATGACGACAGGACTTTACTAGGCTTGATAAGGCATGTCCCCAAGGACAAAGATCATCAAGTATTTTTTTCGACATGAACAATCCAGTTGAGGAAATGGACTCGGCTTGCAGACAGACGATATTAGACAATCATTCTTGGATGCAAGAGTGGGTTGATCGTCGTAGTCTGGAGCCACACGTCTTTGGGGACATTCTGGAACAAGTGCCAAAAGAATCTATTCCAGAAAGCCTAGATTTCTTTGCAAGACGGGATGTGGTGCAGAAGTTGCCTTTGAAAAAGAACCAATTCTGCTACTCTCATGGGAAAAACTGCCAGCTCCCAAAAGCAGGAGAGGTGGATATCGATGTTAGTGGAATGCCCTGTCAAGAGAATTCTAGGATTAATCTGAACCGGCTCTTTATGGAAGGAAAAACGGGGTCAGTGTACTTGGTCTGGGCCAAATCGCACCGGAGAAAAAAAACTCCACTTCTTGTCCTCGAGAATACTCCGGAATCTTTGTTTCAATTTCATTCGAAGTATTTTTTCCTGCAGTTTTCATATTGAGGATTCATTGATGATGGCGATGCTGGTGATGATCACTGCCATTTACACTCTATTAAAAAAATCTATTACGTCTGAAACCTTGAAAATCTGTGAAATGGACGATAATCTTTCTGTGGCCCCTACTCTACCATTTTATTATTGCAACGTTTCAAGGTTTCAGAAGCTTACCGGGGATACTGCATAGCTAGAGTGGCAGTGTCAGAACTCCCAAGACTCACTCTGATGAATGATGATACTAACAGTGATGATGAAGATGAAGATTAAAGATGAAGATGACGGTGATGATGATGATGATGATGGTGGTGGTGGTGGTGATAATGACACTGACGATGATGGTGATGGTGATGTTGATGATGATGATGTTGTTGATGATGATGTTGACGTTGATTGCTGCTGCTGCTGCTGCTGCTGCTGCTGCTGCTGCTGCTGCTGGTAATAATGATGATGATGATGGTGATAGTGATGATGATGGTGATGATGACGACGACGATGATGATGATGATGAGACTGGTGGTGATGCTGGTGGTGGTGGTGGTGGGATGTGTGGATCATTTGTGAGGATCACGTTTTCCACAAGGTAAAAAGGACTTCCGCTGTTTTAAACTTGAAGTAATTACAAAACATGTATGTGTACAACATATGTTTGCAAATACTTAGGAGCTTCCGATGAACGATATCCAGAAGCTGCTGCCCGAATACAACCTTTACCAGCTCTTCGTGAGACCTGAAGATGCAGGCCATTCGGCAGTCAACCGACTGCGCACCTATGTGTACTGCGCTCATAAAGAGACATGTGAGTATCTTTTTGACGTGTTTGAAACCTACAACGCTGTCACAGAGGCAATCAAAGAAGTGACCCAAACACGTTGCAGGGATTATTTTGTGTCCAATCAGCGGCAGCGAGAAGTCCATTCTTGGAACATCTGTCGTAAGCGGAAGATACCATGGAGACCAGTTTCTTGTCCTATGCTGAATCGTTTTTCAAGATTCTGCTAAAGTTCCAATTTTTTTCACTATAAAAAAAATAATCGGTCAGTTTGTAATTTTCCTGGTGGTTTGCCCTCCCAAGAAAAGGCCCCCACAAGTCTACTTCCAATAGCATTTTTCCTATAGTTTTACTACATAGTTGGTGGGTTGCTGGGGCCTTTTTTTGTGGTGCCAAACCAACCGGAAAATTGCTACCCGGTCAGTGCGCTTGTGTGCGTGTGCTTGTGTTCCAAGAAAAATCATCATGTGCATATAATACAATGTATATACTTGTATTACTTTCTGTAGATTTTATAACCTTGAACTACATATCATTATCAGCCACCCAGACATACTAAGAATATGAGAACAGGCTTTGATATGAAAACACCGCCCCAAGCTTTCAAAAGCAATTAGAAAATGCTCAGATGTCGATATGTTATATTTTTCTATGCTTTAGACCAAGGACGAGGAAAACTGTTCCTACTTTCTCAATGAGAGGGAGCGGAAGGTGGTTCGCGTTTTGGACCAAGACTACAAGAGGATCTATGGAGGGCAACCACAACAGCAGTTGGATTTGGTGTATTTCTTGGGTGATAATCCAAGTTTTTCCCGAACATGGTCAGCAAGGGGACGATTGCCATGCTTCAGGCGTAACACTGGCCACTACTTGCACCGCGCCAGTGGTCGGGTGATGACCAGTGTGGATCGTTTAACTGCATTGGGGTGGCCCACAACACAGCAGATTGCCTCCAACATGATGACAACCTGCTTTCCAACTTTGGACACGAGCCGAGGCGAACTCATGGCTGGTAACGCAATGGCCTTGGGAAATGTCTCCATCGTGATCTTAGTGGGGTTGTCGTGCTTCAAGAGGGTTTCAGATTCTGAGAATGGCTGGTGTAGCAATTTCATTTTCAAAAGCAGGCAGGGATGAATAGATCCATGTGAACTTTGTTTTATGTTAAAGGACTTCAAAAATATCAACTGCATCGGCAAAAGTGATGTATCTGAGTGCATCTGCAAAAACATTAGTTTATAGGGAAAGCTATTGTTGGTGCATCATCATTCCTGCAAGACTGCGTTGGCATAGAACACGAAACATTTACCGGCATCTCTGGGAAAAGATTGGCTTAATGATTTAGAAAGTGCCTGTTCAACCAAGACTATGATGGCACACGTACAGAAAGGTTTTTCACACATGTCGATATGTTCCCCTTATCACTGTCCGTGTGTTTCCTGTTTTCTTTCTTAGACTACAATGGAGCCATTCTCTAGTTCAAACCCTAGTTGCCCGGAGTGTTGCTAGCGATGCCTCTCTTGGACGCAAGAGAGCTTGCAAAGAAAGCAGGATTGAATCCAGAACCCATTGGTGCAGGGGCCATGGTTCCTATGGATACCCGGGTTTCCAAGAAGACAGTTTCTACCGCCTCATCCTCGACCATGCCTGATTCCGCTCCCCCTGACCCCTTTCTGCCCTTCAGTTGAGTTTCAGTGTTGAATTGTTTTGTTTGGGATTTGTAGTTTGGGAGAAAAGCAAAGAGGGCAAAGGGCTAAGGGATTTGAATGTATTGTGGTTTTCATGTTAAGTTTGTGATATTAAGTACATATTTACAATATAGTTAATTTTACAAACCTGTAACTCGATCCCAGGCAGGGAGGCAATGAGCCTAGTGATGAAGATGACAATGGTGATGACAATGTGCCCACTGCGAAAGCCAAAGCCAAGAATAGGCCTGCGAAGAGAAAGGCAAAGGTGAAGGCAAAGGCAAAGGGCAAGTCCAGCCAAGGAGGCAGGAAGACGGATGTGGAGAAATACTCGAAGCAGTATACCACTGTCCAGGCGTTCCCAGTTTCTCGCTTGAACAACAAAGCAGCAATTCTTTTTGTATAGTAGCACCCACTTGAAAAAACTTGATTTCCAATCCAGTTTATCTACACAGATAATAATGCCAAACACCTTGTTTATATTTAATATATATGTCGTGTGATTTGGCTTATGTATTTTTCTTCCTCCTTTGCTCTTGTTTGAGATTGACATGCCAATCATTGACCAATTAATTGAGGCTTTCCACTTGTTTGGCTGGCTCAACAAGCTGAACTCAGACTGTTTTGGAGCTGTCCTGCAAAACCGAATTGACAAACCAGCAATCTTGTCTTACCTGTTCCTCACCTGTGGAATTTGCCCTGGAGAAAAGCCGCCAGCGTTCCTTGTCTAGATTAACCCATATATCCCAATGATACACGCTTTTGAAAATTATCATCTGAACAACCCTACTGATACTGACAATGACAGTATGCAGATACCGTTGAAACAACATTTCGAGTATGATAGTCTCGCTCGTACTGAAAACATATGAAATTACAAATGAGTTACATAAAATATTAATATGTTAGGAGTTTAAGAGTGTATCTTTGCACATTGTCATAGACTTACTTCTTACTTTCTTCACCGAAACAATCATACCCAAAACCAAAATATTGAGTCTTACTATTGTGAGTGTCAGCTTTAAGAAATACAACTTCACAGTCGTTCAAATTTTACATGACACTGACTGTAGTTAAAAGTTTTTTCCAATATATTTTTTCTCAAACAACGATAGGTCCCCAAACACTCTTTGTGGGGACCTATCGTCTTCACATTTCACTGTAAGAGCAGATGTTCCAAAATGATTTTGAACATGAATTCAAATGTCCATTCCCGGACTATTGTTAAAATAAAATGTTTTTCTTCAACTGAAGAAGTGTTAATTAAAACAGGGTCGACAAGCCCAAAGACCCAAAAAGCATCCCTCCACCCCCGGGGGTTCCTTTTTTTGGCACCTTTCCTTTTACTTTTGTAATTCCCTGAGGATGGAACCCCACACCATCCTGGAAGAGCTGAAGAAGGAGTACAAGAAGTTGGGGGAGCCACTCTCAGGGGAGGACATGTTAGAACCTGAGGTTGCAATGTCCGTTGCCAAAGCATGGATGGTGAAGCACGCGCAGAAGGATGAAGATGGGAAATGGATCATGCCTCTGAGAGTCCGTCATCCTGGCAAAGTTTGGATTCGAAAGACTGCTGATGACCTCGTTCCCAATGTTGCCCGTGATGATGAAGTAGTCAAGCAGGCACCCAAGGAGGCACCCAAGGAGGCACCCAAGCAGCAGGCAGTGCATGACAAGCAGAGCAGCGAGGAAGGGGTCGACTACAAGATCATTTTTCGAGACGGTGGGCACAGGCTGCTGAAACTGAGTTTCTTGGGCAAGAGACTTGGGGATGTTCCCCTCCCTCCGGGTTCGAACTTCAAAGTCTTGCTTCATGAAGGACAACCGGTGTTGAGCGGGAAGGCAGGTACTGAAATGTACAGTTGTCAGCAGTACATGGACGTCCTCATGCCACCAGAAGAGCCAAAGAAAGTTGAAGGACAGGATGTTACAAAAAGAATACTCATTTCTATAAATAGCACGAACTTTACCTTTGAAACCAGTTTGAAACAACACAACATGGGTTATCAACTTAACTTAGTTGTCCGCTTATCAGCACTAAAGTAACGAACCTGAAAGATCTAAAGTCATATGTTTCTTCCTTGTAATTTTGTTTGCAAACATGACACTGACTCACTACCTTGAGGAGTGAAGAGTGCAAACCCGGCTTCGAACTACGCCTACAAGATTGCCTTTGTCAAAGGGGATTTCATTTTGCGATGCCTAGACTCAAACGAGCATGTGAAGATGGAAGCAGTACTTGGCTGCCCGACGGACATGTTCAACATTGAGATGAAAGATGGTGCCCCTCATGTCAGGGATGGTGACAATGTGCAGCCTTGTTCCAAGTACTTCAAATCGAAAGAAGGACTGACTTCAAATTTATCATAGAAACAAAAGCAAAGTAAAGAAATTAATCCAAGCAAAAACAGCAGTTGATATTAAACAGTGGGTTTCATCTGTGTATTTTCAACTGGTTTGCAGGATTTTCTTGGGAGATTCTCGCCGAGAATGATCAGCACTATTTGCGCAAGTTCGACGGGGAGAAGAAGTTTGTAGCCCAGGCCATTCTTCCCGCTCCCTCCCAGGGGAATTACATGATCGTGGTTTACAGCTCTGGCGTGGCAGCTCTCAAGGGCGGGGCCCAAGAGAAATCCTGCCAAGACACCATGGACGAGATCTTGAAGAGTGACACTGTGAAGAAGCCAGGACTGAACAAGCAAATTCACGTAGACAATTTTTTACATGGTCAGGTGTCTTGTTGTTGTGGTGAAAACCTGTATATACACTTTATGTTAATTGGTAAATGTTTGGATTTACAGACATTGCGTTTTTTTTTGAAAAAAAACAGCAAAAACAAACCAATCTCGGGCTAGCCTTCAAGTTCAGGGTTTTTTACTAAAAAATTGCCTCCTGCAGGTTTTTTTTAAAAAGACCCTTGTCCATTCCATCCTGAACACATCTGAACAACACTTTTCTGACCGTTCCTGACAGGAGTGACTTGGGAACTTTCCAGCTCTGATGGCAACTACACCTTGATCAAGATTGGGGAGGACAACTTAGTCTTTGACAAAGTGGACCTCCCCTCTCCCCAGAAGAAGTACTCGATTGAAACCAACAGCGATGGCGTGTCTTATCTGAAGGACGGGGACAAGTTCTTGAAGTCATGCGACGATACCATGCACGAGATCTTGGACAAGATCTTGGAGGGTCGGATTGCAAACAGAGGACTGATCCTTAAATTAAAGTATTTAAAATCCCAGTTGAAAAAACAGGTGATTCTTTTTGCATGTTGTATGCGTTTTTTAATTTGACAAGGACGAGGTGGATGCCAAGTTTCAATCTTTCTTGTAGCCGATGTAGAATACAAACAATCTACAAACGCAGTGTTAAACTTCCAAAGCCAGATAACCTTAAAGAAGGAAACGACCTCCTACGGCAAACTAAATGTTTAGATTTAGATCCTTTTCACCCTGAACACCACTTTTCCTGACAGGAGTGACTTGGGAACTTGCCGACAATGAGGGCAAGTACACCTTGATCAAGACCTCGACTGGGGAGGACAGCATTGACCAAGTGGACCTCCCCTCTCCCGAGAAGAAGTACTCGATTGAAACCAACAGCGATGGCGTGTCTTATCTGAAGGACGGGGACAAGTTCTTGAAGTCATGCGACGATACCATGCACGAGATCTTGAAGGGCAACAGTGTGGAGACAGGACTCATCAACCAAAAGTAAAAGGAGGGAAACGAAACCTTAGTTGACAAAGAGTGATGATGTGATGTGTTTTTTTGTTTTTGTTGTTGTTGTCGTTCGTCGTCGTCGTCATCGTCGTCGCTGTTGCTGTTGCTGTTGCTGTTGTTTTGTCGGTGTCGTTGTTGTTGTTGTTGTTATTGTTATTGTGATTTTATTGCTCTTTGCTGAGCCGTGCAACGTTCTTGCCGAAACCTTGAAAGTTTGTGGAAAGAATCGATGTTCATCTGACCCCTAAAAAAAATCAAGGTATTCCAAAGTTTAACCAAGGATATTTGTATGATATTTAAATAAAAAGTTCAAATAGCAGTGACAACCCTTTGCAGCATTGCTGTTGCTGACGGTGAGGATTATGATGATGATGATGGTGATGATCATGATGTTGATGGTCTAGAAAAATATCAACAAGCAATGCTGTATATATATATATATATTCATTGATAATAAATATAGGTTGTACTGCCCCAAAATTTGTCTGAAACCTTGAAAATCTTTGTCCCCTTAATAGATGGTTTTTTCTTTTCCCATTAAACGTTTCAAGGTTTCAGAAGTTTACTCTCAAGGCATATATGGCAGTGGGTAACCCTTTCAGAGTTGGTGATGGTGATATGACGACGGTGATGATGATAATGAGGATCATGAAGATACTGAGGATGGTGAGGATGAGGATGAGGAGGAGGATGAGGAGGAGGATGAGGAGGAGGATGATGGTGATGGTGATGGTGATGGTGATGGTGATGGTGATGGTGATAGTGATGATGGTGATGGTGATGGTGATGATGATGATGGTGATGATGATGATGATGATGGTGATGATGATGATGATGATGATGATGAGGAAGGTGAGGATGAGGAGGAAGAGGATGATGATGAAGTGAAGAAGAGGAGTGAATGGAGCACCAGCCAAACTTGCTAAGATCTAAAAAATCCACCACATGACATGACATATGTTTGTGTCTATACTTATACTGTACGCCAGCTTTCGCTATCTAGGAGAGACAAAAGCGGAGGGCGCAGGTGGCCTGAAGCGCAAGTTTTCCAGCGTGAGCTTAGATTCTGTCGCGTGACTGGCTGTCAGACCAGGCGTTTTTGAATTTTGCAAATGCCCCTCAAAAGAATAGCTAGAGTTATTTATTATTACTGTATCATTATGTTCAAACCATTGGGTAGTATTTCAGTTTCTACACGATTCACCAGTCTCTTTCGTGTTTTCATAACTTGGCTGAGGGCATGCTCGGGTCAGCCTAGCTCAGCGTGATGATTTTGTCACTGCCCAGGCTAAGGCTATCAATGTCTTGTGCTTGCTGAGATTTCAATGATCGCTTGTGCAGGTCGAAGTTGCAGCGGGGAAAAATGATAGTTTCAACGGCACGTTGAGCACAACCAAAACTTGATCTTATTTAATAGCTGTTGAGAGCATAGAGCTTGTTGCACAATGCATATGTTGAGAACAATGACACCTGAACAGTGATTAGATGATCCAATCTATGAATGAAGTCACTTAAGCCTGGTCAAGATTCCACTGATTGAGTCCATGTATTTGTTCTTCAAACTCCAGTCCTTACCTACTACATTCAAAATTCTTTCAACTTTGGGGCAAGTTGACATGAATCCCAAGTTGCCCAAAGCTTCCCCAATACTTCCCCAATGCTTCCTCTACCCTCCCCAATCCTTCCCCAATCCTGCCACAATCCTTCCCCAATTCTTCTCCAATTCTTCCCCAATCCTTCCCCCTGTCCCAATTCTTCCCCAATTCTTCCCCAATACTTCCCCAATTCTTCCCCAATTCTTCCCCAATTCTCCCCCCTTCCCCAATTCTTCCCAAATTCTTCCCCAATTCTTCCCCAATTCTCCCCCAATTCTTCCCCAATTCTTCCCCAATTCTTCCCCAATTCTTCCCCAATTCTTCCCCAATTCTTCCCCAATTCTTCCCCAATTCTTCCCCAATCCTCCAATTATTCCCCAATTCTCCCCCAATTCTTCCCCAATTCTTCCCCAATTCTTCCCCAATTCTCCCCCAATTCTTCCCCAATTCTTCCCCAATTCTTCCCCAATCCTCCAATTCTTCCCCCAATTCTCCCCCAATTCTTCTCCAAATCTTCCCCAATCCTCCAATTCTTCCCCAATTCTTCCCCAATTCCTCCCCAAGCTGAATCTAAGTACCTTCAAAATCCTTCAAAGTCCTCCCAAGATTGGCAGGATTCAACCATCAAATATAGAGAACTTAACCTTCCCAACATTCACCTAAACATCAACAAGACCCACTCGAATTCCTACAGATCTCCTCAAAAGTTTAATCATATGTAATAGTCGTAGTTAATTTGTGTTGGGTGTTGTTGTCATAGGTTTTGTTAACACATCCTTTGATTTGAGCACTGAATCACTTAAGCACACTTTGAGATTTCTTGATCGAGCAGCATGAAGAGAGGGGTAAAACGATCGCTTGGTGGTGACGATGATGCGCGCCTTACGCATCGACGGCGAATCTTGGCTTCACTCCCTGATGACATGACGCTTTTTAAGCTAGCCGGCTTGGACCTTGACACTATGAGTTTGTGTGATGATGGACGATCATCGTCTACACAGCTGGCGCTCTCTACCGCCAGCAGTGCATCTTCAAGTGTAGCTTGGAAGCAAGTTGTTTTTAATCTTTAATTTAAGATGATAACAGAGGTTGAAGACAGGCTACAACAATTAACAGAGTTCTGGAATAACACAATGAAATGAGATTGTATGGCTATATCTGCACCAACCGTGATATGACTGCGATAAACATGATGAACATACACTGTATTATTGGTCCGCTTTGATTCTTGGCTCCCAGGTTTCAGGGAAGTTTCGCGATGTTTACACGGCTTTCAAGACGAAAGCTGCAAGCGCAACTTGGTGATGAATTTTGAAGGCAGGTGTGTGGGCAAGGTTCCAAGAAACGATAAGCTCTTAGCATTAGTACCACGCAGAAATACACAGTGACCAAAGCTACAACTAAACATTCACATATTTTCCTGAATCTTTATGACATTATGACAAAATTGCGCCACCATTTTTGCCTACCCAGGATTCAGGGAAGATCCACTCTACTTCTTTGTCATCGTCTACTACTCCGGGTACTTCAACGCATCCACATTTAATGAAGGCGATTGACAAGGCAACTGGGCAGCTTTGGAGTTCACACCCCTTTGGATATAAAAAAAAGGAATCTACTCCAAAAAGTAACATGGACTGTCACACAGTTTTGACCAAATAAATAATGCTGGCATGGGGAATGACGCGTGAAAGATTGTGGATCGAACACACGCAGACATGACTTTGTC